AGGAAACCAGAAATTGTAACTTCAGTTTGTTTTGCATTGATCGATGATGTTTAAAGAGAACTATTGTAAGAAATGTATCTCATGATTGTATGAATTATGATCTTAGTGATATGTAATGGAATGTATTAAAGTCATTGTTAATTGAGGGTTTGCTTTACATGCAAAGAAATCTGAAATAATAGTACCCTGTAAGCATTTTTTTTAACCTAGACCTAGTTATTTTTGTTAGTTATGAGTCTTGATAAGTAATTTACTATACTAAGGTTTTACATGAAAGAAATCCCAAGATCCAATGCCACAATCAGATATTTATCATGGATATATAGTTCATTAATTTACAGTGAAATGTAAAGGTTGTTTTTTCTTTCTTTTTTCTTCTTTGGAAAGCAGCTTAATCTGCAGAAACTTCAATCAAAGCCAACCACAATATATAACACATGCATTACTGGATATCAAGGCATAAACCAGTGGATTTGAATGTATGAACCCCTAACAGTATTTTGTGGCAAGGTATTAATCCATGGAAGGTACAACTTGTTAGCATCCACAACTACCAATACCAATAATTTGCTTTCGGATTCCGCTGGTTGTTTACATCCAGGGTGGTAGAGCCAGAAGGTGTGTATATATAGATGCATGTCCATCCTGTATCTTTCATCCACATCCAAAGTTCTTTGCCAATTAATACAAGTTTTCTCTTCTGGGTTTCATTGACCATTTCAATGGCCAGTAACTCATCAGCTTGCAGTTCTTATTGGGTGATCTCAGGTCTGGCATTGGTACTGGGAGCCATTGTTCACCAAGCTGACGCAAGGGCATTCCTCGTCTTCGGTGATTCACTAGTCGATAGTGGCAACAACAACTACCTGGCAACAACTGCACGAGCCGATTCATACCCTTATGGGATCGACTATCCAACACATCGAGCAACCGGCCGATTCTCTAATGGCCTGAACATTCCTGACCTTATCAGTTAAGTTTCCAATATACATATTGATATTATGTGGCATGATTTACATTTCCTCGTTACCTAGCTCATTTGTCTGTACATATGTCCAAAATCACAAATAATCACACGCACACTGACATGTTCTCTGGATATCTTAGTCTCACCAAGAATCATTAAATGCATCTGTCAGGTGAGCAAATTGGCTCAGAATCCCCATTGCCTTATCTGAGTCCAGAGCTTAGAGGACAAAAACTACTTGTTGGTGCCAACTTTGCTTCGGCTGGAATCGGAATCCTTAATGACACAGGAATTCAGTTTGTAAGCAACCTTCCTGTCTAATTTCTCAATGACTTGCTTCCAGTAACAAGGAAGCTATATATATCCGAACAGCTGATCTAATACGTGGCCTTAAATGTTGCAACAATATCAGATAAATATAATAAGAATGCATAGACAACTGGAGTATTTCCAACAATATCAGCAACGAGTTGGTGCGCTTATCGGAGCCGAGAAGGCCAAGCAACTCGTCAATCAAGCACTTATCCTGCTCACCGTTGGTGGGAATGATTTTGTCAACAACTATTACTTGGTTCCTTATTCTGCCAGGTCTCGCCAATATGATTTACCAGATTATGTCAAGTATCTCATTTCAGAGTACAAGAAACTATTGATGGTAATTCCTCTTTTCTCATTTAAAGTTTCTTGTAATGCTAAATTAAAAAATAAATTAGACAATGTTACTATCCAATTAGGAGGCAACTATTACTTGGTAGCTTATAAGCATAGGGTTAATCTCTCACCTCAACAATTATTTTTTCAAGACAAAACTTATCATGTATGTAGCTTTAATGGGATAATATCTTGGAGGGTCTATAATATAATGTACACCTGTGTACACATCATTATTAACTTTGTTTATGAAAATACTAGGCATGTGTGACTACCAAGCTTCTTGTATGCAGGGTGAGATGATATTATTATCCCACACCTCAGCTAAGAGACAGGAATTTTGGTTATTTACAAGTACAAGGTTCAATCTGTATGTTCAAGATACATCTTGTTAGGACAAAGCCACTACATGATTCAAATGAAATATAGAACTCTTTAGGAGGCTTACTATGTATGTGGATAAACATCATCAACAAGAATAGTACTTCGATCACCGAAGATTGTGAGTCCTTGAGTAAACTCTAATTTAAAAATAACATGAACTATATATCCCCATTTCGACCATTACTGCAGAGGCTGTATAATCTCGGAGCACGTCGAGTTCTTGTGACTGGTACTGGACCGCTGGGTTGTGTTCCAGCAGAGTTGGCCATGAGGAGCGCAAATGGTGGCTGCTCAGCGGAACTACAGAGAGCGGCTGCCTTGTATAACCCTCAACTTGAGAGCATGATAATTGATGTCAACAGAAAAATCGGCAGTGATGTGTTTATTGCTGCAAATACCCACCAAATGCACGTAGATTTTTTCAGTAATCCTCAGGCATATGGTACGCAATAGATCCCAAGTAGACAGTTCACTTCATTACTGAGGATACAGCACTATATGCTCATTAATTGTGAGTTATAATTTAAAAAAAAGAAATCATTTTTTTGTTTGGGCAGGATTTACTACATCAAAGATAGCTTGTTGTGGACAAGGACCATACAATGGCCTAGGACTGTGCACACTGTTTTCAAACTTGTGCCCTAACCGTGACCTCTATGCATTCTGGGATCCATTCCATCCATCAGAAAAGGCAAACAAAATTATAGTACAACAGATCATGACTGGCTCCACCCGATACATGAAACCTATGAATCTCAGCACCATCATGGCCTTGGATTCCAGGACCTGATAGATCATCTCATGAATCCACCTTCTTAATCGCCACAACTTCAATCCAGTTTCTTTCAGTTTTTCTTGTCATGTTTGTGTTAATTTGCAGTCAATCTCATGGGATTTTAGACTGGTGAATCTTGAATTATATTGTGTTTGCAATATCATGAATAATTGAAATTTTTCTATACATTTCGCACATCAATTGTGCTCATCCATTTTCTTTTTTTCAGAGTGTCCTGTCACCAGATACGAACTCTTATGAACTGTTTTTTTCTTTGACAAAATAATTATTTTTATGGCGACTTCCAATAAAATTAATCTAATCAACTCTCCGATGATCGAGTGAGAAGTTTACCAACGTGCATGTTTAGTGTCGAAGGGATTTTTTCCTGGATTAAATTATTTAGCTTTTGACGCAAGGGACAATACTGATTTGTTTTTAGTTTGATTTCGGAGACAGGAAAGAACAATTAATTTCAAAAATAATTTTTTAAAAATTAAAAAATATTATTTAAATAAAAAATACTTTAAAAATAATTATAACTACATCTTCAAATATATTTTTTAATATATTTTTTTCTAGATTAAATTATTTAGCTTTTGACGGAAGGGACAATACTGATTTGTTTTTAGTTTGATTTCGGAGACAGGAAAGAACAATAAATGATTGTCTTGTCCTTGCAACTTCATGTCATGGACATCTTATGCTCGGAATGTCACTCTTCATGGTGAAATTATATATTAAATGTTAAATAAAATATCATGATAAAAGCCATGAAAATACATTAAAATAGTTTTCTGATATATTTTAATGTGTCCAATATATATATATATATATATATATATATATATATATAAAGAAGAGAGATTTAATAAAGAAATCATTTAAAATAAACTAATTAGTAAATAATATGAAAAAAAGGAACTTGAGATTGAAGTTTAGCCTAGACATCATGGCCATGTCCACGAGCACTTGGGTTAAAACTTTGTAATCAAGTATAAATAATCAAGCGAAATAAGTTCCAATAATTTAATTTAATATAAGTATCTAAATGATATCAAAAAACAAATTATTTTTTTATAAATTAGTATATAATTTTTGTCCTTTTTTTTCACAAACAAATAAAATTATATTTATTTTTTAAATTTTTATTAAAATTTATAATTTTAAAAAATATAATATAGTTTTTTAAACCCGTCCCGTGACGCTGCAGAAGAGGCATCACCATAGCTGGAACCGTCTAAGCTCGCTTCCGGTTTGTTGTATAGTCTCCTTGCCAGATTACGACAGCTAGCACTAATGATGTGCCTTTGTCATCATCATTTTTCGGTGCTGTAACATTTTCTGCGTTGATTTTGGCCCCAGAGTGTAAATTATTATTGCTTTAAAGGCAAACAACACTAGAGAGATTTTATTTCCGTTCTCCCGCAAGTTTGTTTTTAATGTAATTTTATTTAGGAATATATTAAAATAATATTTTTATTTTATTTTTAATATCAATCTATCAAAATAATTTAAAAATAAAATTAACTTAGAACTAAAAATATATACATTTTTTTTTAATATAGGTGAACAAGGAGCAAATTTGAAAATGAAGATGCCTTCTGTGCCCCGTTTTGGCCTTACAGCCTTGACTTGGAGTGAAGTATTAGACGACGTGCACTCAATTATTGCCAGTGGGAGCCGAATTTGCTTAATTAAGACGTTATGAAATCCATATTTTGCCCAGAAGCAAATGAAAAAGCAATAAAGGGATTATTTTTTAAGTTTATGTTTAGGACTGTATTTTAAAAATATTTTTTTAAAAAAATTATTTTTTTATTTTAAATTAATATATTTTAGATATTTTCAAATTATTTTAATGTATTAACTTAAAAATAATTTTTAAAAATTTAAAAAATTATTAATATATTTTTTAAAATAAAAAATACTTTAAAAAATAACCAAAACTATATTTCTGCTATTAAAATATATAAAAAAAAAACTTAAAATATATAGAAATATTAGGACCCGTCATCATTTCAAATGACACCCCCTATTTGCTATTAAAATATATAGAAATATTAGAACCCCGTCATCATTTCAAATGACACCCCCTAATGATACCAACCACCCAACCTTGGCTTGGGTTCAGTTAATGGAGCAGGTAGCTTTGAAGTCAAACATAAAAATAAAAAATAAAAAAAAAACTAATGAGGAAGGTAAAATTTACACATTTTATTATTTATGGTGATAGTATAATTATTTTTTATTATTTTTTTTTATCCTTTTCAAATATACTAATGCTCTTGGTACGGCTATTCTAGTCTTTTCATGTAACCTGTTAATCATTAATACTGAGGAATTTCTCATTTTATTAACCTTTAAAAACATTAGAATGACTTAATTCTCCTCCAAATAAAATACATTGAAAATGACATGCAATAATATTTCTATCTTTTTTATTTTTTAAAAAAAAATTAAAATGACAACTTTGTCCTTTAAAAAAAATTAAAACATGCACTAAGAGCCTTTTTAGTATTTTCACTGTAATTTCTTGTTAATACCATTTTCATGTTGGGCAATTTAATTGGGTGGTAAGTGCATTGCCTATCAAAGATAAAAAAATATTTTTATATTTAATTGGTTGAGCTGAGTTGATTTTATTTTTAATTTTATTAACTTAATTTTATTATTTTATATTTAATTGGTTGAAAATTAAATCATATTATTTTTTTGCTCTTAAAAAAAAATTATTTTCCAAGTTATCACCATTGTTTTTTTTTAAATTTTGATTTGATTACTATTATTATATTTTTTATCTAATTAAATGAGTTTCCTTCTTTATTTAAAATACAGTTGCAACATCTAAAAATGATTTCTTGCAAAGCGCAGGCTCAGCGCTCTAATGTTAGAGCCAGAACCGAATCTCTGTTCTAGTTGGATAACCAGAGCAAAATATTACATTAAGGACTAATCTGTAATTAACTCGAAAGGAGCCACTCCCTACTGCGCGTCGAAATAAATGGCAGTAACGTAAATAAACCCATCAGCCTTGTCCAATTCAGGAAAGCAGAGTGTAGTAATTAAGAAGAAGGTAGTGCCGTAGTGGTGAGTGCACGAGTGAAGTCATATCGACTCTGTTTTAGACAACGGACAAATTTGATTTCCGATCCAACTCACCTTCCGATGATCTCTCTCTCTCATGTGTTTTTTTTCAACAAAAAAGCATAAAATGCTAATGCTGATGATCTCTCTCTAGTTTTTTTCTTTCAAACAATTAGTAATTACTAGAAAGAAGAGAGAAATGGCAGTTCCAGTAGAAGAAGCCATAGCAGCTCTCTCTACCTTTTCTCTTGAGGTACCCTCCCTAATTTATCTTGCATTCCGTTAAATCAAGCCAATTCTCTTTACTTTTTATTTATTTATTTTGTGTGTGTGTGTGTGTGTGTGTGTGTGGAAGGATTATCAAGCAGAGGTGCAAGGAGCTGGGGTTTTGGTTTCATCTGAAAGAGGAGCAACCAACAGTCCTATTGGTATTTTTTAAAATTTTCTTTTAATTATTAATGCTAATTACGTGGTAAAAAAACAATAAATATATGTTTGTTAAGGAAGGTTAAATTATAGGGACGTGTTGAATGTAAGAATTGAAATGGTGATTGCTTAAATAGAGAAAGGACCTCTCTTGTTAGTGTTACTAATCAGGGAAGGATGAATAGGGATTCAGGTAGAATCGGAAAGCGTTTTATTTTGGCATGTTTGGTTAAATTAAAAAATTTTAGAGTAAGAAATTGGGTTTGGATTTATGTGAGACCATGGATATAACAATCTACTTGTTGCATTTTACTAATTGTATCATTTTGTTTTGTCACTACATGATTACAGTTGTGAGTGATAGTCTGTGCTGCATAAATGACATGTTTTTGTGTTGTCATTATCATAGTTGTGACATCTTCTTCTCATGTCTGTGTGTTTTGTCTGATTTTGTAGTTTATACTAAACATGGAGTGCGGCTTTTATGTTGCATGCATGGCCACCGGCATTGTTTGTGTTTGTCCATGCTACTGTCTCTCATACGCAATCATTCTTTTTTCTTCTGTAGAGTATACTGATGTTTCTGCTTACCGCTTATCTCTATCAGAAGACACAAAAGCTCTCAATCAGCTGGTATGTGGCTTTTGTTTTCTTCTTTTTGCCTCGACTTTTTTTTTGTAAGCACAAACACTACATAATCACACTATTTGTGTTAGTTTTTCTATTTGGTGTCATTGCATTTGTTTTTTTGTTACTTTATCAATATAATTGCATCTGTTTGGTGGTTTTTGACTTTAATTTCTGCAACATGTGCAGAATGGACTTATCCAAGAGGGGAAGGAGATGGCATCAGTGCTTTATACATATCGAAGCTGTGTCAAAGCACTTCCTCAGGTCTATTTTGGCTTCACTTCTAATAAACATGGCCAAGGATTGCTGATGCACATGGATTGATATTTTTCTTGTGAAGATCTATTCTCTTTATGATATTTTCTCTCTCTCTTTCTTTTGTATGCTTATGTGCAAGGTTGTGCCTTTGGCATGTTTAATATGCATATAACTTTTGGCTCTGTAAACAAAATAAGCTGCTGTATCTCACTTCCTGATGAAGAGCAAGAAAACTAACTATTCCTTGACTAACATGTATTGCTAGTGATTGCAGACATTACAAAACTCTAAAGGTAAAAAGTTGCCATTTAAAAACATTAGTGGTGGAATTTACACTTTGACATAGCATTGTGGTTCTGCAATAGCTAATCTGGCAACTTATTGTATTCACACCATAGCTGTATCTATAGGATAAAAGACCACAGTTTTTATATTAAAACTGTGTAAATACATTGAAATAAATTTTCAATTTAAATGCATCAACCTGATGGGCCTCTTTGTAGGTCCTTGAACACGCATATCTTGTCAAGCTTCTCATGCCTTTAGATGCTTGACCTCGTTGGAATCTAGCAGATTTTGCTTTTGATGATTTATGACTCAAAGGGGTCTTTCAATCACAATATCATTGTAGCCTAATACTATATCATGTGGTCTAGATTATACTGGTTCATGTTTGACCTGTTTACATGTGGGATTTTTGGAGTCCTGTGCTGTAGCAATGTTCTTAGTGATGCATTTGAAACATTCAATTAATATATGGAGGAGCTAGGAAAAGTTTTACAGTTTGGAGATTCAC